GTGCAACGCGCCGACAAGCGCCAGCGAGGAAGGGCGTTCGACCGCTGGTGACGCGGCGACAGGCCTGACGAGAGGTCGTTGCCCCTAGCAGGGTTGAAGCAGCCCAGAGCCTCCAAAGGCGCACGGCCTCGAGGCGTCTTGGTGCAAGGGGCGCCCCCTTTCATAAGTGGCAGGCTGCAGCCGTGCACCTTGGACACCCCCCGGGGGTGGGGTGCACCGCTCATCCTACGGCTTCCCCCCATCTTTCAAACGTCCTGCGGCTATCGGCTGCCCTCCTCCTCTCCCCCCTGTTGCATGCAATTACAGCGGCTATCGGCTGCTTCCCCTTGTCTTTCGTCGCCGCAGCAATGGTGCCTGAACGGCGCGGCCTTCGCGGGCCCCGCCCCGCGCAGGCTGAGGCCGCCAGACGGGGCTGGCCCCAGGGGCGAAGGATTCCCACTTGGCGGCTACGGTCCTGACGACACCCCCGGTGATTGGGATTCGTTTCGCCGCAGTGGCAGGCCGCGGCCTTGGTTCCCGCGCTACCTCCTGGGAGTGAGGTACACCCCCACACCGGGGTTAACAGGATGGCCGATACGGCAGTCGCTGGCCCTGATCATGTGGCTTCCCCCGACCTTCGACGCCGACGCCCACGACGCACCGACTTTACGTGTTGGGTCCTCGTCTGGTGGCGCTTTCGTCTGGCGCTTCCCTTTCCGCCTCCGCCGTGTTGGGTCTTCGACTGCCTATGTCGCCACATGGCTCTCCTTCTTTTCCTCTGGCGCGACGCTCTGTTGGGTCCTCGGCCGCCAGCGTCGCCTGCCCCGGGCCACGCTCGAATACCCTCGACGCCCGCAGGTCCTCAGGCCCCTGGTTCATTGGCTTCAGCTTCGAACTCAGGAGGGCTTCGCGGTGAGCGTCGAACACGTGAGGTGTTCTGTGAGTGAGGCCTGGTTCCTCCCTTCCTTTTCTCTCGTCGCCTCTGGCCCGCTTCACTCGGGTCGACTAATCCGCTGGCGTATGCCCAGTGGTCTCTGCATGTTAATTTTCTGGCATTGCGCCCCATGGCATTACGCCCCATTGCCTCACACCGCCCTCTGGACTTCTCCTTGCGGGCCGCAAACCAAAAAAAAAAAACCCACCAGCCCATCCAGAAACGATGCCCAGAGGAAGTGCCTCGATCAGGGAAGTGGGCAGCGCACAGAGGAAGGGTTCCCCAGTGGAGGCCTGTTGGAGCGCCTTGGGGGCCTCTTGGCGGTCCCGGGCGCCTCTCAGAGCGTCTTGGGTGCCTCGGAGAGCCTCTTGGGGCCTCTTGGGGGCATCATGGAGGCTTCTGGGGCGCCTGTTGGGGCCTCCTGGGGCCTCGTGGGCGCCTTTTGGGGCCCTCTTGAAGCGTTGTTGGGAGCCTTGGGAGCGTTCTTGGAGCCCTCTTGGGCCATCTTGGAGTCATCTTGAAGCCTCGGATGGCCATCGGAAGCGAAGCGGCGAGAAAGCCCAAAACATTGATTTCCCTTTCCTTGAGGTTGTGGAAGGATGTTGGCCTCTTCGGGGCCTCCTGGGGGAGCTCTTTGGCCACTTGGAGCCGTCTTGAAGCGGTCTTGGGGCCTCTTGAAACATTGTGGGAGCCATCGTGAAGCATCTTGGGATATCTTGAGCCATCTTGGAGGTCATCTTGGGCTTTCCCAGGCGCTCGTGGAGTCATATGAAGCAGTGCCCCGCCCCAGGAGGCTTAAATGTAACCAAACCTTTGTAACATTAGTGGTGTTGGCATTCTCGCCGAGGCCTCTTGGAGCGTTTTGGGTGCCTCTGGGGGGTCTCTTGGGGCCTCATGGGGGTTTCTTGGGAGCCTCTTGGGGGCATCCTGGGGGCTATTGGGGGCCTCTTGGGGCCACATGGGGCCATTTTTGGGCCATCTCGGGGCCTCTTGGAGCCTCTTGGGCGCCTCTTGGGGCCATCTTGGAGGAGATCGATCACAGGAGGGGGGGGGCTCAATTAACCCACCCCCGCCCTTCAGGAGGCCAATCTGAGGCCAAAACCATTGTAAAACCAGTGATTTCGGTTTCCTCGCCGAGGCCGTTTTGGACGCAGGTCCAGGGGAGGGGGTCGGGGGAGGGGTCAAGACGCACTCACCGCCCGCAAGCCGTCTCGCTCACTCCCACCCGCCCCCCCAAGACTACGTAATTACACCCGGGCCTGGCCCGAGCCGCAACATATGCAGCAGTCGTCTGTGGATGGGCAGCTACTGGGGGCCAATCCGCCGCCGCCGCCGCCGCCTCCGCCGCCGCCGCCGCCCGCCGCCGCCGCTGGCGCCGCCCCGCCGCCGCCGCCGCCGCCGCCGCCGCTGCGGCCGCCGCCGCCGCGCCGCCGCCGCCAAATCGCCGCCGCCGCAGCCGCTGCCGCCGCAGTCGCTGCCGCCACCGCTACCGCCGCCGCCGCCGCCACCTCCGCCGCCGCCGCAGCCGCCGCCGCCGCCGCCCCCGCCGCCGCCGCCCCCGCCGTCGCCATCGCCGCAGCCGCCGCAGCCGCTCCACCCGCTGCAGCCGCCGCAGCCGCTGCCGCCGCCAAATGTTTTTTTTGCTTGTTTTTGACAGGAATGGTGGGGGGAGGCCGCATCGGGTTCGTTGCGCATGCTTGGAATTTGGAGACAGAGTGTGTGTCTGTATGTGTTTTTAACAAGGGCTGGTGGTGGCAAAGTGTGTGTTTGTATTGTTTGTTCAAGGGATGGTGGGGGGCGGCCCTCATGGACTTGGGTTGGCTCCCAGTCGCCTGGGGGAGGGGTTGTATACTATTAGGGAACAGTGATCAAGATTCCCTCCCCGCCCGCAAGCCGCCTCGCTCACTCCCACCCGCCGTCCCAACACATACGTAGCACCCGAGCTTGGCCCGAGCCCCAGCATATTCAGCAGTCGGGTTTGGATGGGCAGCTACTGGGGGCCACTCCGCCGCCGCCGCTTTCGCCGCCGCCCCCGCAAACAAATTGCCGCCGCCGCAGCCGCAGCCGTTGCCGCATCAGCCGCTGCCGCCACCGCTTCCGCCGCCGCCGCCGCCAAATCGCCGCCGCCGCAGCCGCTGCCGCCGCAGTCGCTGCCGCCACCGCAGCCGCCGCCGCCGCAGCCGCCGCAACCGCCACAGCTGCCGCAGCCGCGGCAGCAGCCGCCGCCGCCAAGTGTACTCGGGGGGAGGCCGCATCGGGTTGGCTGCGCATGCTCCGGATTTGGAAGCAAGGTGTTTTTTTTACAAGGGATGGCGGGGTGGGGGCCCTCATGGTTCCGGGTTGGCTACCCGTCGCCTGGGGGAGGGGTGTTGACTAATAGGGAACAGTTATTAATCCCTCCCCGAAGGGGAAGAGGAAACTCCTTCAACCACCTACGCCCAGAGGGCTGGTGGGATTCAAGGTGGGGCTCTGTCAGGCGATCGCAAACAACATGGATCAAGGGGGGCGTGGATTAGCGACGGGCCACGTTTCCATGGGGAATCTCGGATTCCCGCCGCCGAGCGAGGCGGCAGCGGCCGCATTTTGGGGAGGGCGCCTCCCCCGATCCATGGATTTGGCGACCGCGCGCCAAATCCATGGATCGTTCATCCATGTTTGCGCGCCCCCGAGATTCCAGGTCGATGTTTCCCCCCCCCCCCCCCCGTATGCCTATCCCCCCCTGTCGTTACCCCTCATCACCCTCTTCTTTCGTCACCTTCGCCTGATCTTCTCCTGGCAAGGGGGATGCTTCCGCCAAGCGCGGCCGCGCGGGTCCTCCTGGTACTTCCCCGATCCATGGATTTGGCGACCGCGCGCCAAATCCATGGATCGCTAATCCCTGTCTGCGCGTCCCCGATGCTGCAGACCCGACGCCCTCCGGAACGAGGGAAAGCGCTGCACGGATCGATGGCGAGGCTCAGTCTCAGAGGGGAGTTCTCTCTTGCGTCTCCTCCTCCTCCTCCTTCTCCTCCTCCTCCTCCTGCTCCTCCTCCCTACTCCTGCTCCTCCTCCTCCTCCTCCTCCTCCTCCTCCTCCTCCTCCTGTGTAGATGTGTCGTATCGCCCAGGGCTGGACAGAAGCCCCACCCTGACACGTCGATTAGCGAATTGTCCGTTGTCGGTTCTCGAGAGGGTGCCGCGGCCGTCATTTTCCAGGCTAGCACCCGCCAGGTCTGGACCCGAGGTCGTTTTCACTGAACCACGTCTTACTAAAGTGAGTTCTGTCCATCCCCGAGCAAGTGCAAGCCTGTGCAGCAGTTGCACGGATGGGGTGGTTGTCCTTCTTCGAGAGTGGGGGGGACGACGGAACTCTCGCTGAAGTGTATGATCATCGTCTCTGGCACATCTGCATACGCGCCGTTTCGGATGCAAGGCGGCTCCTTTTCAGCACCGAAGAGGAACCTTGCAGGGATGTATGTGGAGGCGACTTTATGTTGTGGCATCGCTGATTTATCTTGGGCTTGCTCTGGTCCTCCACCTCTCCCTCCTCCTCCTCCTCCTCCTCCTTCTCCTCTTCCTCCTCCTCCTTCCCCCTCTCCCCCCTCCTATCCCTCTTCCTCCTCTTCCTTCCCTCCCTCCTGAACCCCCTCCTCCCTTCCCTCCGCCCCAACCCCCCTCTCCCCCTGTCCTCCCCCGCCCCCCCTCCGACCGAGGCCTCTTCTCGCGGGAGGCCGCAGCACTGCTCCACGATGCCTCGTGCGAGCAAACCTGCAGGGCTGGCCCTCTTCTCTCTGCTCTTGGCTCCAGAGAGGCCTCCTCATCGGAGGGCACCAACTATCGGAGGGCTGGCCCAGGATCACCCTGGGCCCAGGATCGGTGTATATGCCTTCTTGCGCAGGGCAGGAGGGCGTATACACCGATCCTGGGCCCAGGGTGGTCCTGGCCAGGATCGGTGTTGGTGTATAGCTGGTGCCTTCCTACCTCAGGCCGCCTGTGCGGACGCGCGCGCCCCGCCCCTGAGTTCCTCCTCCTCCTCCTCCTCCTCCTCCTCCTCCGTCTCGTCCTCCTGGATCCTCCCTCCTCCTCCTCGATCCTCCCCCGCCCGCCAGTGGAGCCTCCTGAGCTCCGAGCGCCTCCGGCGCAACCTGCCCGACGTCCAGCCGAGGGGCTTCTGCGCGCCCGCCCCCCTCCGCCGCCCGGCGCGCGGGCCGGGCGCCCCTTCGGCCGACCTGCCGCCGCCGTCGGGTCTCCGCCGGGTTGTCGTCGTCGTCGTCGTCGTCGTCGTCGTCGTCGTCGTCGTCGTCGCTGTCGTCGTCGCCGCCGTCGTTGTCGCTGTCGTCGTCGCTCTCGCCTTCGCCCTGGCATTTTCACCCACCCAGCACCGCGCTTCGTGGCCCCACAGGGAGGTCCACCGAGGCCCCCAGGGGGACCGTCCGCAGACATCCCCGAGAACCTGATTTGGCCTTTCCAGCCACCCAGTACAGCGGTTCGTGGCCCCATAGAGAGCTCCACCGACCCCGCCAGTGAGACCGTCCGCATGCGTCCCGGAAACCTAATTTGGCATTTTCAACCACCCAGTACAGCGTTTCGTGGCCCGATAGAGGAGCTCCACCGAAGCCCCAGTGGGACCGCCCGCGTGCGTCCCACACACTCAACTTGGCATTTTCACCCACCCAGTACAGCGTTTCGTGGCCCCTCAGGGAGCTCCACCGACGGCCCCAGTGGGACCGCCCGCATGCGTTCCCCCCCACCTAGTACAGCGTTTCGTCGCCCCATAGGGAGCTTCACGGAAGAAGATATTCACAATTGCGGTACCCAAAACTGCATATGGTCGGGGTCTTTCACCGGGATAATTTTTGCTATGTTTGCATATTTGTTTGAGTATTTTTTATGTTTCGTCCACACTGCGCCTGTAGGAGGACATGCCCGATCTAAATCAGGTGCGGTCATGCTGGAGTTGGCGGAGAGCCCCCTCCGCTGAGCGGCGTTCGGCACTCGTCACGGTATGATTCGATGATCTTCTGGACAGTTCTTGGCCCAGCGTGTGTTGAACCCTGTCCCGCTCCACCGATGGGGCGCAGCCTACGCCGGGCCCTCACCACGTTGCACAAGCCCTGTCGAGAGGCCCCGGTGGACAAGCACACGCCGGCGCAAAGCACGATACGAGGATCATCGAACACTGATGCCGAGAGGGTGGAGTGGGTCTACATTTAAGTCGGGCCTGTCCTTCTACAGGGGGAATATTCAAAAATAGTCAAAAATAGTCGGGAGACAATTTTTTGAGTATTCTTTGACCATTCTTGAGCATTGTTTGAGTATTTTTTTGTTCGTCGAAAATCCCCCTGTAGGGGGACACGCCCGACTTAAGCCTACATGGGAGCTCCCTGGCACGCCCTGCCTTTCCGACCGCCGCGCGCGTCGGCCAGGGCCAGACGTTGGTCGGCTCCGGTGCCGGCCGGGTGTCGTGCCCTCCCATGGGCCTCCTGCTCGCAGTGGCCGCCAGCGTCGTCGTCTGTGTGGCCGGACGGGGCGCGTGGCCTTTCGGTGGCTGACGAGGAGGAGGGTGATGGGGGAGGATGAGGAGAGTGAGGAGGAGGAGGAGGAGGAGGAGGAGGAGGAGGAGGAGGAGGAGGGTGAGGAGGAGGAGGAGGAGGAGGAAGGCGAGGAGGAGAAGGAAGAGGAGGAGGGTGCGATGGCATCGTGATGCCACCAGAGACTGCCCGCAGTCCAAGGTTCAAGGAGGCGGGTGAGGATGCCACCTGGACTGCCCGCAGTCCAGGTTCAAGTGGTGCTGGTGATGGTGGTGATGACGATGACGATGCTGATGATGGCGTTGACGATGTCGATGTTGGCGATGATTATGAGGATGGTACTCCTTATGATGATGATGCTGATAATGGTGACGCTGATGCTGCTGTTGATGACGATGTTGATGATGCTGATGAGGATGAGGATGATAAGGATGAGGATGATGATGATGAGGAGGAGGAGGAGGATGATAATGATCAGGATGTTGATCAGGCTGATGATGATGGTGATGATGACTTTGATGATGATGATGCTGATGATGATGATGATGATGATGATGATGGTGATGGTGATGGTGATGGTGATGATGATGATGATGATGATGATGATGATGATGGATGCTGATGACGACGATGATGATGACGATGATGCTGATGCTGATGCTGATGTTGATGCTGATGATGATGATGCTGATGCTGATGCTGATGCTGCTGATGATGATGCTGATGATGTTGATGATGAGGATGAGGACTATGATGATGATGATGATGATGACGATGATGATGATGATGATGATGTCGATGCCGATGCTGATGCTGATGCTGATGCTGATGATGATGCTGATGATGATGATGATGATGATGATGATGATGATGATGATGATGATGATGATGATGATGATGATGATGATGATGCTGATGATGATGATGATGATGATGATGATCCCGCTCTCCGTGGGGGTGTTACCGCCGAGTCGCTGATGCCCGCCGCACTGCTACATTCACCCTCGCGCTCTCTCCTGCCCTCTCGACCTCGACCGATCTCGCCTAGGGAGGGCCACAGGGGCGCCAAGGTCGGCCGCCGTTCCACCTCGGGTAGGGTGCAGCCCGCGCTTCGTTCTGCGGAGCCCGTCCGAAGCCGCTCGGACGCGGTCCGTCCAGGACAGGGTTCAACTAAACCCTTCACTCTCGCCGACTGGGTGTACGCTCCACAAGCCGCACAGAAGGCGAGGCTGCTGGCAATGTACACCCTGTGAGACTTATCCAATCGCGTATTCCACCAGGGGGGCAACTCCAGACAGAGCGGGCCCCACGACCCCGTCCATTCCGAACGTAGTTGCCCCCCTGGTGACTGGACCCCTGCACTGGCAAAGGCTGGCTGATTGCTGCTACTGCTGCTGCCCTGCACTGGCGGCTGCTGCTGCTGCTGCTGCTGCTGCTGCTGCTCCCCCTCCTCGCTCCCAGCCTCTCCCACCCCCCCTGCCACGGCGGCGCCTGCCGCGCTGAGGCCAAGGGCAAAGCCAAGCGCGGCGGAGGGCCTGCCTTGTTGCCCCTCTCCACCCGAGAGCGTCGGCGGCGGGGGCGGGGGCGGGCGGGAAACAGCGCGGGAAGGGGCGCGCCGCGCGCCGCGCAGCCGGCGCAGCTCCATGCGCGGCCTCCCGCCGAGAGGAGAGTCGATGCGCCGTGCCTGCTGCAGGGCTTGGCGCGGCAGGGTCAGAAGGTCGCAAGCATCTTCATGGCGACGCCCGTCCACGGAGCATCGAATTGCCTGCTACCCTGGGGCCAAATAGCCAATCGCTCACCCGAGGCCACCCGTCGCCTTCCTGAGGCGCCCGCCCCGTCCACCGACCCAGACTGGCACCCCGCTCATCAGCGAGCGCGGCGGCTTCAGCGAGCGCGGGGAAGGACGGATGGCAGCTCGCGCCCTCCTTGGCACGAGCGTCGGCAGCACGCTTGCCTCTCTTCTGCCACTCAGACGAGGCGCTTTGGAGGACGTCATTCATGGTGGCGTGGCCCTTGACCTTCGTGATCTGGATCACGTCGATGCCCACGTCGCGAGCTCTCGACCAGAAGGAGATCCAGAGCTGCCTGTAGGGGCGGTTCCAGCACGTGCACCAATCTTCGCCCGCCTCCCAGCCGTCGACCAGCAGCTGCGAGCTCTGAAGAGGTGGATCGGCGGGAGGCAATGGGCCAGCGCCTCCACCGCGGCCAGCAGCTCGCCCGAGCCTGACTCCGGCGGCCAACGTCAGGGAAATGGCCCGAAGATGCTGGAGATCTCCGCGCCCATGTGGTCGGTGGAGCAAGCCGCCCAGCCAGCGCGCGCCAGGACGCGGTCCTGGATGTGAAAGGCCGACCCGTCCAGGAAGACCTCGCCGCGCAGGGGCTCGCCCGCTCCGGCCCTGCGGTGCGAACCTGCGAACCATCCGCGCCGAGAGGGGCAGCGGGCGGTCGCTGCGCGGGCCCTTGACCAGGCAGCGCGACCAGATGGCGCGCTCGACGTCTGCCTCCAACGGGCCGCCAGAGTTGAGGAAGTAGTTGATGTTCTGGTCGTCCAGCCTGCACTGCCTGCGGAGACTGTCCAGTTCTGGGCAGGCCCAAACCAAGTGCCTGACCGTCCCCAGCTCCTCGCAACCGGCAGAGCAGCGCCCCGAGCTCGCAAGCGGGGGCTCGGCTGTAGCGCGGCGCTGGACTGGCCGCAGGCCCCCGAAGATGGCGTTCCTTGCCGACGACCACCTCGCCGCCAGCGCGGGGATGGCGCGGGCGCGCCCGAGACGACGCCTGAGCCCGCTGACGGCGGCGCCACCGCCCAGGTGGCCGAGCGCAGGGTCGCGGCCAGCAACGTCTCTCCAGAGCTGCCCGATGAAGGCAGCCTGCACATCACGGCGCAGCGCGCGCCTGTCGATCTCCCCCAGGTCGATGATCCTCCCGAGGTCGTCCGTCCAGCGCCTGATGCGGTCGGCCATGCAGCCGAGCCGCAGGGCGGCGAAGGCCGCGGCGGCCGCGGGCCCTCGGCCCGCAAGGTCTTCGGGGACCGAGGCGGCCAGGCGGCCGCGGGCAACCGCGAAGGCCGAGCTGAGGGCCCTCCTGTCCTGCTCCCTGACCAGCTGCAGCGCCTTGGCCAAAGCCTCGAGGGGCTTGGGAATGCGGTTGCAGAGCGGGTCGTCCCACGGCTTGACGGGCACCAAGTCATTGAGGCTGATGCTGCGGCCAAGACCCGCGCGGAACGCACCTGCGGCGATCTTGGGGCCCCACTTCGCCAGCGCCTGGGTGGACCAAGCCATGCAGGATATGCCGTTGGTCGTCGCAGGTCGGAGGCCCGAGTTTGCCAGCATGGTCGCCGCGGCCTTGGAGGCGCGCCTCACCTGCAGGACGCGCCCCAGCCGGGCTGCAGCCGCCTCTCTCCGCGGAGAGGCCACCGCCACCACCTCGCCGCCCATGCCGTAGTCGACCCCCAGGTTCTTGGCCTCCATGGCGCGCGCGAAGGTGCCCTCGTCCATGCAGAACTCGATTAGGCGGCGCCGAGTATCTCGCTCTTGTCCCTGGAGACCGCTGCGCCGATGTCCCACCCCAGGCCCTTGACGACGTCGCCCGCAGCGCGCCCAAGCAGGACGCCGACCTCCGCCTTCCGAGCCCGTCTGGCGCAGGGAGCGATCGCCGACCATGATGGCCAGGGAGGCAGGCCGCCGCGGTAGCCGCTGCTGCTAGGGCGCCTCTGTGGCTGCACCCTGCTGGCCGCCCCCGCCTTGCGCGCGCGGTCGCCCCTGCGCTGCCTGCTTGAGCTCCGCGAGGCGCTCGGCTGACAGTGGAGGTTGCTTTGGGGCTGCGGCGGCCGAAGGCTGGCTGGGCTTGGTGGCGGCTGCGCCAGCGGCTGCGGCTGCCGCCCCGCCGGCGCTGGGCTGCCCAGCGCCATCGCCAGCAGGGCGAACATCATCCTTAGCCCGCTCGGCCTCGCTGTCCATGCGCCTCTTCTTGGTCCTGGCGCGGAAATCCTCCTGCATCTTCTTGAGGCCCTCGCGGCGCTTCTCGAGCTCCTCGGCCGCAGGCTTGAACATGGTCTCCACCTGCTTGGTGAAGTCCTGCTTGAACTTCTCGAGCGCGCGGCCCCAGTCTGCCTGCTCCGGCTCCGCGAGGGCGACGCCGTCGAGGTCGAAGGCGGCCCCGAGCTCGAAGCTGAGGCCCTCGCGGCCCTCCAGGACGGAGGGGGGGGGTTGACCGAGACGGGGGCCTCCACCGCGCCCTTGTCCCGCTTGTCGAGCAGCCCCTGGCGTGCGCGATGGCCTTGGTCTGCTCCTCGAGGGCCTTGGCGTGCTCCACCGCGAGGGCGCCCTCCTTCTCCGGGCACTTCGCAAGCCAGGCTCGGGCCTCCTCGGCGGCGCCCATGGCCTCGTTGATGGCCTCGGTTGCCCGCCGAGCCGCCCGCCAGGCGCGCTGGGCGGCCTTGTCGGGAAGCTCGGGCTTGGCCGCAGCTGGCCCCGGCTGCTGCAGCGCGGCCTCGAGGCCCGCGAGGGCCTTGGAGGCGGACTCGGGGAGCGCCTCCTTGCGCCGCATGAGGGTCTCCAACAGGGTCTCCTCGCGCACCGTCCTGCTGTCGGAGCGGTTGCTGGCCTCTCGCCCCGGTGGTCGGCTGGCGGGGCGTCCGCGGCCAGCGGCGGCATCGGCGCCGACCTCCTGGTCAGTCCAGACCCCTTCGGCCAACCTGGCTGACGAGACGGCAGGGGCGAGGCCGTGGCCGCCTTGGAAGCAGGTCGGGCGGTTCTTCCACGTCCACTTGTACAGGCACTTCGAGCACGTGTGGAAACCGACATGTGGCCCACGACGCCCATTGCCACCCATGGCGCTGACGGTGAGCGAAAACTGGACACTGGGCGCCGCTGGCCGCTGGGTAGAGTGCCCGAATCTGCTGATGAAAGCTCGAGGGCTATGAGCCGCCCCCTTGGTTGCATCCAAGCTCCAAGCGCCAGGGACGCGTTTGGAACTTGAGCCGAAACGGCTACGGAGGGTGAGGGTGATGATGGTGGTGATGATGACGACGGCGACGGCGGTGATCATCAGGGCGATGATGCGGATGATGATGACGATGTTGATGGTGATGATCATGGTGGTGATGACGGTGCTGATGAATATGATGGTGATCATATGATGCTAATCATGATGCTGATGATGCTGGTGCTGAAGATGATGCTGCTGATGATGATGTTGGTGGTGCTGATGATGATGGTGATGATGTTGATGCTGATGCTGGTGCTGGTGCTGGTGATGATGTTAATGATGATGTTGTTGTTGATGATGAGGAGGAGGAGGAGAAGGATGAGGAGGAGGAGGAGGAGGAGGAGGAGGAGGAGGAGGGAGGAGGACCAGGACAGGCCGGATGTTTCCTCTCCCCGCCCGCCAGGCTGCGTGCCCTCCCACAGGCTGACGAAGAGGAGAAAGCACCCGAGGAGGCGCCATCGGGGCCGCTGGGGGTCTCTGTCGCTGCGCCCACCAAGGCGTTGAGGCCGTCGTGCCAGGCCGTTCGGGCACCCTCACGACCGGTGCCTCGGGAGGAGGAGGAGAAAGAGGAGGAGGAGGAGGAGGAGGAGGAGGAGGAGGAGGAGGAGGAGGGGGAGGAGAAGGAGGAGGAGGGGGAGGGGGAGGGGGAGGAGGAGGAGAAGGGGGAAGGGAATGAGGAGGAGGAAAACGAGGAGGAGAAGGAGAACGAGAAGAAGGAGGCTGGTGTCGGCTGCTCCTTCAGCCCTTCCACTGCGCTTCGGAGCCGAAGGCGGGCCAGCAGAAGAGAAATGCTGCCACGAAGCCGACGGGTCCAGTGGGAATTTCGTAGGATGAGACGGTTCACACATCCACCCAGCGGCAAATCACCCTGACGTTGTTCGTCCTCTTCTGTGGCTCCTGGACGCTCCTCGTCGCGACGGCTGGACCCGCCTCGGCCACAGTTTCGGGGTGTACCCTGGAAGGGGTCGAGGGACCGAGTTTGAACGGATTTGCGCCGGGCCGGTGAGCCACCGTTGTCTGAACTGGCCCTCCGAGAAGCGGGTCCTCCCCCTCGTCCCCCTACCCCTACCCCTCCTCCCCTTCGTTCTTCTCCTCGCCCCTCCTCTTTCCCCTTCTCCCTGGGGGGCTGCAACAGTACACAGGACAAGCGGTCAACGCATAGGAAGATGCAGTGCACCTCCCCCCCTCCTCCTGCTCATTCCATTCATCCGCGGAGCCGACCAAGTGTCACTTGAGGCATGTCGTCTGTATGCCTCTCGTCTGTATGCCTCAAGTGGTGGCGGCCAAGTATCGTTTGAGGCATGTCGTGGTGCTACCAATGATATACCGTTTGAGGCCCGTCGTTTGCATGCCTCGAATGGCACCGACCAAGTGCTGCTTGAGGCATGTCGTCTGTATGCTGTAGACGGCATCGAGTATCGCTGGAGGCATGTCGTGTGTGTGTGTGTGCCTGAAGTGGTGCGTGACGAGTACCACTGGAGGCGCGTCGTCTGCGTGCCTCAAGCGCTACCAATCAGGTGCCATCTCAGGCACGCCGTCCGGCTGTAAGTCAGATGCCTTGTGAGTGTTCGTTGGCATCTCGTGGTTGGCCTCTCTGGTGCCTCTTTGGGAACCGTCTGAAGCCTTGGTAGCAAATTGTTTGGGCCTCCGAGCCCCCCTGTTGGGGTTTTGTGGGGGCCTCTTGGGGTTTCTTGGAAGCCTCGTGGGGGCCTCTTTGGGACTCTTGGGCCTTCTGGGGCCCTCTCGGAACGGAGGGCTTCAAATTTCTGCTGGTGCCCCCTTAATTTGGTCCTCTTGGGGTCGTCTTGGGGCCCGTAGAGGCCGTTGTGGGCGGCTCTTCCTGGCTGTTTTGGTGCCTTGTTGGATCGTATTGGGGGCGTCTTGGCAGCCTCTTGGGCCTTCTCGAGGCGGTCTTGGAGGCCTTGCGGGTTCTTGAAACGTCGGTGAGTCAAATCGACAATAATGCCAAACAGTATATATATACCCATATATATCTATCTATCTATCTATCTATCTATATATCTATCTATCTATCTGTCTATCTATCTATCTATCTATCTATCTATATATCGATCTATCTATATATCTATCTATCTATCTATATGTCTATATATCTATATATCTATTTATATATATCTATCTATCTATATATATATATCTATCCATCTATCTATATATCTATATATCTATATACCTATCTATCTTTATATATCTATCTATATATCTATATATCTATATGTCTATCTATCTATCTATCTATCTATCTATATATCTATATATCTATCTATATATATATATTTCTCTCTCTCTCTCTCTATATATATATCTGTATACATAGATACATACACATTTATTTTCATATAATATAGATATGGTCGCTTTCGACAAGCTGAAGTGACGTGTCTGTGCCCCGAGGGCTCGCCGCATCGACGCCTGCCGTCGACGTGCCTGCTCCAGTCTCAGAAGGGGCTCAGCCTGCCCCCAGCCCGTGGTCGTGCGCGGCCTTGGCTTCTCAGCCTTTTGCCACTTGAGTGCCATAGGCGTGGCGCGCTGGTGGTGGCAAGCTGCGCCGAGGCTGCCACCCTCCGCTCCCGCGGCGCCCGCGGGTGTTGTCCAGCCCGGGTTCTCGGCGCTGGGGCGGGAGGAGCCGCCCGTGGTGCTGGTCCCGCTGTCGGACTGCATCGCGGCAGCTGTGGTTGCCAGCCCGCCGTCAGGGTGTCCTTCGCCGTGTGCCCCTTGCCCGGCCTGCCCAGAGGCAGGCGAGTCGTCGTCTCCTTCTTAGACGCTGCAGATCGGGACCGGGCTCCTGGGGCTGCCGTTCGTGGAGAGTGCCAAGCTCGTGCTCTCATTGGTCCGTCGGCTCGGGAGCGTGCTGCGCCAGGTTGTCGGAGGCGAAGGGCCGCGCCCAAGCGTCGCCCTCGGCGATCGCGCGCGCGCCTCGCCGGATCCCGAGCGTGAGTCAGCCGAGGCGGTTGACTTCCACGCCCTCGCGATCGAGCAGGCACGGGCCAGCCAGCTCAGGCGTTCGCTGGCTCAGTGATGGCTGGATGTTTCTACCTGGTCAGATACCGCGTCCCCGGACCCATTCTCTTCCATGAGAGATTGACGTTGGGCGAGAGGGGGGCGTTGTCCTACATCTTGACTCCTGAGGGCGACAGCTACGATGAGGGCAGCGCGCCGACGCCGGACATCGCAGAGGTCATCAGGCTCGTCGGCCAGGGCGGTGCTCCCGCTGGCACTGGCGAGGCTCACGTGCATCGGTTTCGGCGTCTGCCGAGTGCTGCTGAGGCTTGGGCTGCTATCAGGCGCGGAGTCGCTGCGGGCTTTCCACGGCCAGCTGGCGACACCCTCAACCTCGAGCTCGCCGCGGGAAACGCGCTCGGGGTGCCCGCCGGCGTTCGCGCCCTTGTCGACCCGAGCGCACCTGCCGCAGCCCCCGCTGCCGTGGCTGCTGACGGCGCCCCAGGGCTGGGCGTGGGGGTCGGCGCCTTAGTCGCTGCCCTGGGTGGCGATGTACCCCCGCTTGCCGCCCCTGGCGCCGGAGCGCCTCCCGCAGCCGCGCCGGCGGCCCCTGGGGCCTTGGCGGTCCCTCCGCCGGTCGCCGCGGCCGCTGCTGCTCCGGCCGCTGCCCCTGTGGCGCCCGTCGTGGCGCAGCCCGTCCTGGCGCCTGTGCCTGGGCCCCCGGCCGCTGGCGCTGGCGTGGCCCCTCCCGACCCGCGGGTCTTGGCGGCCTCCTTCGACATGCTGGGGCAGCGGCGCATCGAGTTCAGGGAAGGCGTGGTGAGGTTGGTCGAGCATCCCTGGCCAGACTGGAGGCTCTCTGGGCCTAGGACGTGCCTCTGGGTCTGCAGATTCAGCCGCGAGAACGGGGGCGCGCCTCTCGGGCGGCATCAGATGTTCAGGACGACCTTCCGCCTCGCCGACTCGGACGTCGGGGTCGTGGAAAATGAGGAGTGCCGCCGCATCCTGCAGGAGGGCGTCTGCTACGACCACGGCAGGTCTCCGTCGCATCCTGCAGGAGAGCGCCAGCACCATTCGCATCCTGCAGGAGGGCGTCTGCCGGGCAAGGGCTCGCTCACCACATGGTAGACGCTCTCGTCGCCCCTCATCGCCATCTCACAGTACAGAGAGGTCTAGGACACTTATGATACGACCCCGCCGCAGCTGTTTTACCACTCGAGCGACGACGCTTACCAGCATCTTGCTCGCTGCGCGCGAGACTCCCTCACGAGAGATCGGCTCTAACCCCCGATCCCCCCGTTCCAGAGGTGGACCAGGCCTCGCCTCTCCACCTCGCGGGCTGGGCCGTCGGCTTCAACGCCAGCTACGACCCGGACGCCAAGGGCGACGACCGCGTGGGCTTCACGTACCACGGTCAGACGGGCCGTCCTCGTGGCGCCGAGGATGGTTTCATCTACGTGCATCGCGTGCGCCTGGGCCACAGCGCAGAGCACGATCTACGTGCCCCAGATTTTCCGCCCTTGTCGAGGCCACCCGTGCCGCGCCCATGGACGTGACGGGCTGCATCGGCAAAGCTACGGGCGGGGTCGGCGGCAACGCCCACTACGACTACAGTGCGACCACGGCCACACCGTGGATGTCGTTCATGAAGGCCATGTGCATGATATCCAGCCTCTCCTCGCGCAACACATCGGTCCAGGCAAACATTCGTGGTGTGCATGGCCACCTGGGCGCTGCGATCCCTGGGCCAGGCCGCAAGTGCCCCCCAGTGGAACTTGCGACGTGAGCGTTGACAGCAGAATGGATGATGATACACAACGACTGGTCGAAAGTGGGCAGTGCATTCCTGGGGCAATATTCCCTGGACACAGTTCAGGATACAAATCAGCTGTACAAGGAGGGCCTTTCTCTGCCTCCTGACATTTACGGCGACGGTGTGTCCACCCCGTGCTATGCTCCGAATCTTGATCGTGCCAGGATCAAACTTTCAGTGCGCCCACCTGGTCCGGCCAGGGCATCCGACACGGCGGGGCACCTCGGCCACATCATCGAGGACCACATCGTCACCGAAATGCGGGCATTCTCCGACTTCCACCAAACCAATCGCTTCCGCCGCAAGCTCGGCACGTGGCAGACCACGCGCGGAGGGTTTGGAGGAATCGGCTCGAGCCCCAAGACGGTGGCAACACCATCTGACCACCCTGACGGCTGGGTCACCCTTCCAGAGCATGGCGATCAGCACTGGCAACCACATGAGGAGGGATCTGTGCTCCCAGGAGAACAGCCTGACGTGGGGGGCCTTGGTATTACTCCAGGATCAGCCATGGACCCGCTCGAGTTGGCTCAGGCGAAATACAGTTCGTTTTGTGGTGGTCGGTTGGTTACCGCTCTTCTCTTTGAGAACGGATGGCTTGGTATGATACAGGAGGACTTGGGCGTGCTCTTCCACCATGCCTTCGGTCCTTCGGGACATGCGTACAAATCGACAAAT